GATTTATTGTGCGGATTATGAGCAAGTAGTCGAACTTGCGAACCCGTCTTGTCTGTTCAGATTTGGAGTGAGCCATTAGGCTTACTAATCCTGTTTTGCTTGAATAACTCGGAGTAAGCTCTTCAGCTTACATTCCATTCTGTTGTGACTGAGGGTACAAAAGCACTATGAATGCTTTTGAGGGATCAGTTAGCGTGACTACCCCTAAAGGGGTAGTGATTTTTGACACCCCTTTATGATTGGCCAATTTTATTTCCAATCATTGGCAAGTATTAATTAAACTGATTTTTTATTTTTTTTAATCTTGTAATTTGGGGTCTCTCACCACATTGGAAAAGAGAAAGAATCTGGGGAAAAACGAAATCACCCCCATTAATTACATAATTAATTTCTCTCACTGGTACATTAATTACACGTACCACTCCACTGGTACACGTACCACTCCACTGGTACACGTACCACTCCACTGGTACACGTACCACTCCACTGGTACACGTACCACTCCAATGGTACACGTACCACTCCACTGGTGCGAGCAATCCACAAGGTAGGTTAGAGTGAGAACAATACCAGTGCAATGATATTTTTCATAACAATGATAAACAATAATAGGGAAAAAATAGGAACTTTCCATTAGTAGCCAAAAACTGTGTTCCAAAATGGGTTGCAAAATTAGGGAAATGCCAACAACAATGTCAAAAGCAATAAATTATCCTTCGAATGTGAATAAACATAAATCTTCACAATTTTTTAAGCCTAAACAGGACATATGGTTACACGTACCACTCCACTGGTACACGTACCACTCCACTGGTACATGTACCAGTGGAGTGGTACGTGTACCAGTGGAGTGGTACGTGTAATTAATGTACCAGTGAGAGAAATTAATTATGTAATTAATGGGGGTGATTTCGTTTTTCCCCAGATCCTTCCCCATTCATAATTACCAACGTTTTTCTCCTTCCCCATTCATAATTATTATCACAATTAAGGCTTTCCCAATTTACAAGATTACAATAAATAAAGTAAAAAGCTTAAATGGAAAAGTGACCAATCAAGAGGAGGGTGTCAAAAACCACTACCCCTTTAGGGGTTAGCATAGTATCCGACCCCTGCTTTTGAGCCTATAGTGTCTAAGTGAACTATTAATGAAAAGAGGTGAATACTTAAGAATAAGTAAAAAGGTTTTATGATACCTCGGTACAGTAGTGTGTCCTGTTTGTATCGATGTGGTTAAACCCCACGATACTCCTGTTTGAGCGCTCGTGCTTCGCACCGTGCCGTTTGGGTGACGACCCACGGTACTCCTGTTCTGTTCAGTTAGCCGGGCTGGGGTAATCCCGTGGCGACTCCTGTTTTTGTATCGGTCCGGGTTGTGTCCCGCGATATTCCTGTTGGTGCGAGCACTCCTGTTTCGTGCCTTGAGCACTCCTGTTTCGTGCCTTGAGCACTCCTGTTCGTACCGGATGGGGTTTTGTCCCGCGGTACTCCAGTTATCTGATGGCTGTACATGGTTATCCTGCAGCCTTCCACTACTGTACTACCCGAGGAGTATATCATTTAGCAAGTTTGAAAGTGAAATTGTATAAGTAAAATGCCTCTATCTGTCATCTGTTTTATGTGTTTTTGACTATGAGATGTGAACATGTGAACTTGATTGATCCTGTGGAATGAAAAGTAGAATAATCAGCTTAAGTCCTGTTATGTGCTAGGGTGTTTCTGCCCAATACTGTTTTTGTATTGATGTCGATCTGAGCTTAGAATTTATTCACTGAGCGACGACTCATCCTTCGTCACCATTTTTCCTCAGATCAAGATCAGAAGTAAGGTCTGTACTGTAGATATCGGGACTCAAGCGTGAAGGGAAGCCATGAGGTGGGCGGAGGACTCCGAACTCCTTAAATGTTCTATGTTGTGTGGATTTTGTAATAAAGCGGACTTCCCCGGTTTTCTGTTTTGACTCTGATGAAAATGTAAATTATGGTTTGAAGTTTGAAAAAAAAAATATATGTAGAGCTCGGGCCCGAGAATGTTTAAACTCGATGTATTTTACTGTTTCGTTTTGTAATATAAAGTAAGGGTTTCACAGTGGTCAATACAAACAAAAATGATTTCGATGAGTTTGGAAAATTTTTTATCGCACCATTAGTTCAATAAAAAAAAACTTGCCATCAGATGGTAAACTTTGTACCAATTAACAACACTACTAGGGTTGCAGGTTTCTCTCATGACGGTGGTCGGAATGGCCAACCATGGAATCTCATATGAAAGCCAACCACCTTGACTTTGTGTACATCATGATGTGATTCCTACCACCATTCAAGTGGAGGAGTCCTCCCATGTACACGTTGGAGTTAAATATCGCCACTAAGTTCATCACTCAAATTGATCAAGCATCAGGACAAGTGGGTACTCGTCCCTCTATCTCGGAGGCAAGTCCCTATCTCGCTCCTATGAACATGGTGTAGATACGTGTTGCACACAAATATACTTATACAATAAGATGGACCAACATGAATAATAGGAAGCTGGTACTTTGGGCTTAACTGGCAGTTAAAGCCCAAGTGTTAGACAAGATAGGCTTTGGGTCTTATCGAGCCGTCTTCAACCTTTAAGAGATTTTTCTTGTTGAGACTCACACATTGAATAGAGAAGAGTAGGGAGATAGACACACATACACGAGATTTTTTGTTAACCGAGTTTGGCTTATTACTGTATGTCTCGGCTCAAAGGTGGCTTACCCTTTGAGTCCTAGTGTCTAAGTTTTTATCTTATTCCGATCTAACTCCAAGTGAGCTCCTTTAGGTGGAACTCAAACCCTTGACAAGAGTAGAGCAACATACCCCTTTCTCTTTTCCTCACAAGCACTCTTGACAAGAATAGAGCAATATACCCCTTTCTCTCTTCCTCTCAAGCACTCACGCTAAAGAGAGAAACTGCACAACTTGACAATCACTCAACTAATACAGACAGTGAAACTCTATCACTTCTGAAGCCTATTGCTAATCATAGAGTGTTTGATCTTGCTTTGTGTAGGATTTCTCTACCACGTTCAATGAGGCTTGTCTTTTTGCTTCCTTGTACTTATAGTTTCTTAATCCAACGGTCTTCTCTTGATCTTCACTTGATTGCAGAGATTCTTATTGCAACGAACTTATCTTGATATTTACTTGTTTACGACGTTTTTTTTTATTGCAATCATATATCCATAGACATGGTAGTTAAGAATATAATTTTATCTTAGCAGAAAGAGATTACGACCAACGTGGACAGATCTCATGACCAACATGGTCAAATCTCACAATAAAGGCTGTCTAGATATCACAATCAATGTGGTCAAATCTCGCGACTAAGGTTGTCTAGATCTCGCGACCAACATGGTCTAGATCTGGTGACTATGGTTGTCTAGATCTTGATCTCACGACCAACGTGGTCTAGATCTCACAACGAATGTTGTCTAGTTCTTGCAACTAACGTGGTCTAGATCTCATACTTAGTATATTTCATAGTCTCCTTGTGACTCCACACAACATGTCCTCTCATGACCAACGTGGTTAGACCTCGCAACCAACGTGGCCAGATCCCATGACCAACGTAGTCATCTCAAACTTAGTCTTTAGTGCTTAAAAATCAAGTACCATGAGGCTGGGTCTAAATAACATTAATTGCTGTAATTAATTCGGCCTTATAAAGACAATAGATGTCTTCTAAATAATCAATGTGGTACAAGATATTTTTAGATGTAAACAGTATCAGAGCTAGTTTGTCCTTGAGATCACGTGTTCAAGTTCTCATTACCTCCAATATGAATCTTTGTCTTAAAGCACATGGTATGGAAAGGCATGTGCAAACTTCAAGACCATGAGTCGGGTTTGGTTTAGGGACATGTAAGGAAATGGTTAAGTACCATTAGGGATGTTAGGCGGTGCGGTTGGGTTAAACCAACTACGATTAATTGACATCGAGAAGGGTCCCAAATTTCCCATCGTCACTGTCACCGCAAATATGGTGGTTACCCCCCCTCCCCCATCACTGTCAAGAGGTGGTGCGGTTTTTCTGTTGATCGAGAAATGCTTGAAGGAGGGGATGGAGGAGCTGATGGAGGTGGGGGTTCGATTGGAGATGGAGGTTCGACGAAGCGGAGGTGGGGGTTCGACGGAGCGCCATTGGGGTGACAAGCGATGAGTAGATGAGGGAGTCTGGCGATTGACGAGTCCTCTGTCTTCGTCAAGGACAGCCATCTGACGAAGGCGGGTGGACAAGGCGACTATGACTGAGAATGATTCAACGTTGACGGTAGGGGGTTAGGGTTTGCCTTCTTTTCGCCGTTCTTCTTCTTCACTACATGGATTGGAGATGAGGTTTAGGTCACAATTTGGACTTGGGAGGACTCGAGGATGAAGACGATAGGGTTGGGTAGCAGGCTTGAAATCGCGAAGTAGGAGGCAAGATTGATGTCGACTGCTGGTTTATGAGACGTGTGGTTTTATGGTACACCGTTTGGTGAGCGGTTATTCACTGATAATCGTCTGGTTACCTGCAAAAGCCAATCTGTCCAATCGCCACTGGAAACCGAAGTTCTCCGGCAATTTTTGGTCAGCCGAGAAATCGAGAATGGCGGTGCGGTTTTGCAGTTGCCCGAGAAATCGAAGACCGAGTAACACATCTACATACCATATATGAACATCTTCCAAGAACCGAGTTATTGAAACCAGTTGGTTTATGACAACAACTAACCAATGACGTGACTAGGGGAAAAACTAAAAAGCCTCCCGTCGGTCACCTGATGCTTCAAGGCCGGGCCTTGGTTCCTCGTCTCGGGCTCAATTTACTCGGCCCATCTGAGACACTAATCTTGGACCAAGTCACATGGACCTCACAAATGGCCCGTCTTTCTCCACCCTCAATATTTCTAAAACGGCCCACTCAAATAAAGTGGTACATAAGGAAATGCATAAGCCTGGCCGCTGGCCGATTAAATTAAAAAATTAGACCGACCAAAGAAATCAAATCCAGTTCCGCCACGTATCCAAAAGCAGTACTATCAGTTTCTACGTGGCATCTTGTGAGCCTAGATCGTACTCCGTGAGCGCAAGTCTCGGCAACACTAGATCGACTCCCCGTTCTTCATGATTGACCCCGCTAGGGAAATTTAGTTGACGAAGTCCCCGTTCTGCTCCAGACTTTGGTCGATCTGTCTGCTCCTTTACTTGAGAGAGTTGAGGAAAGATCGAAGCTGGTGAAGATATAGCCAGCGCTAGCCAGGGATCAGAGCGGCAGTAGTTGTTGAAAATGGCGGGCTACGGGGATCCAAGTCAGAAAGTGGACTACGTCTTCAAAGTGGTGCTGATCGGGGACTCGGCCGTCGGGAAATCTCAGATACTCGCTAGATTCGCGAGGAACGAGTTCAGTCTCGACTCCAAGGCCACGATCGGCGTTGAGTTCCAGACCAGAACTATGGTTATCCAGCACAAGAGCGTCAAGGCTCAGATCTGGGATACTGCCGGCCAAGAGCGGTACTAAAAATCTCTCTCGTTTCCCATCCCACCTCTCTCGCGCTTCTGGTCTTGCTGTCCTTTAAGCTTCAGTTCGTTTGTGTTTAGGGTTTAGGTTTCCCGATTTGGCATATGCATGGCTTGGGATCTGGTGGATTTTGGAATTTGGTTGGTTCTGCATTATAATCTTTGGAGTAGTCGTTTAGCCGAATATTGATCTCTTAAGTTTGTGTGGACAGTTGCGGAGTGATCCCTATGATGGTTTCCTATTTGGGCAAAACCTGGAATTTTGTCCGAGATTGATATGAACTTTGCTAAATTGAATCAATTGGGGGAAGGTTGGCCCTAAAGTTCGTGCTAGGTTTCTAAAGGCTGCTTTGATTGATGATAACCCATATATATCGTGCCTATCGCTTATGTGCGGACTCTTAAGGTCGATCGTGGCATGATCTTGAGCATAGATCTCTTGATTTGCCTGTTTAGCCACTTTTCTTGCTCAATTTGTTGGATTTCGAAGGGCTTTGCTGGATTTCCATTTTTTCCTGAGCTGGACCTTCCTGGTAGGCAGCACTACCCTGAAGTCAGATTATAATCCAAGTAACTATCTTTTAAATTGAAGGAACAAATTTCAAAGAAAGAAAGATCCCTGAGTTTAGATATCATTTGCCTCTCCAAGTACTTTCTTTAGACTCTATGAACAATCTGGAAAGGTTTGGTTGATACCCTGAAATATCATGTGCTTGATTTTATGTCATGTAAGGCTTAGAAGGCTACAATGTGTACTGCAGAAGGCAGACCACTGGAAATCCTATGTACTTTGATCGGTTGGTTTAACTTTCTTCTAACCAAGGATTATATATACCCCATGTAGCAATATTTGAGCTTGCAAACTGGCAACTGCTCAATGAACCTTCTTCGTTTTGTGATCTGATCCTATGCAGATACCGAGCTGTCACGAGTGCATACTACAGGGGAGCCGTAGGGGCAATGCTGGTGTACGACATAACCAAGCGTCAAACCTTCGATCACATCCCACGCTGGCTAGAAGAGCTGCGGGGCCATGCTGACAAGAATATAGTCATCATACTGATTGGCAACAAGTGTGATCTCGAGGATCAGCGGGCAGTATCCACGGAGGATGCCAAGGAGTTCGCCGAGAAGGAAGGCTTATTCTTCCTGGAAACCTCCGCGCTGAATGCAACCAACGTTGAGAGCGCCTTTGTGACCGTGCTGACGGAGATCTTCAACATCGTGAACAAGAAGAGCCTAGTAGCCGACGAGAGTCAGGGCAATGGCAACCCGGGGTCATTAGCTGGTAAGAAAATCCTTGTACCTGGCCCCGCACAAGTGATTCCGGCCAAGAGCAGCATGTGTTGCACCTCGTCGTGAAAACGTTAACTGAGAGGGGTGAGTAATTCGAAAGGGAACTAGTGGATTTTTTTCGATAGCAGAATTTTTGGAAGCGTGTGATGTATTTTGTTTTGTAAATTTCCCGTTTTGCCTATTGATTTGTACGGTTTTATTATATGGAAGCTAGGAACTTTACACATTGCTTTGTAATTGAAAATTTCCTCGTCCGAACTTGAGCAGTTGTCTAGTACTTGTTTCTGCCTTTTTTAACTGTCTTCATTTCTGTTTGGTCGTTAACTTTGCATTGCTTCTCATCTGTTTCACTCCCTTCAAGTGCCTATTTTGGTGTAATTTGTCCCCTGTTTTGCTTTTTTTCATCTTTAACGCTTTGTCTTCGGTTTCATTAGAGATCAGTACTACAAGGTCAAATTTTGGACTAAATTTGGTATAGATTTGGCATTCTAACTTCACACATAGGGGTTCTACTCAAATAGTGAATGCAACAGTATCAAATTCTCCAATTTTTACTCTACCTTAATGTAGTTTAGTGTGAATTTCATTGTTTTAAATGGATAATTCAGTCATTATTTATATATACGTAGTATTAATTAATTAGGATGAAAATCTGATTGTAATTTTTTTTGTTTAGTTTGGATACATTTTGTCGGACTAGATAGAGTGGCAACACCCCTTGTGTTGTTATTGTAACAAGTAACAACACTAGTCTCCAACCAATAGGAAGTTAGGGTTGTGATGACTTTTTAATATTTGAGTTGACCTAGTGTAAAATCAAAGTAGGGGTATAATTGTCATTATGAAAATATATTTAAATAATAATAAAAATTTAAATTTAAATTTTGTTTTTATTTTCTGCACAAAATTTTGGTCGCCGGAATCTGGTTGCAGGTTGCTGGAATCCGGTCGCCGGTCAACGGAATATGCTTTATGTCGCCGGAATATGGTTGACGGCGTCGGAATATGCTTACGGGCTTCAGAATCTAGTCATCGGGGCATGAATATGCCTATCGGCGCCGGAATCTGCTCACTGGCGGTCGTCGGAGTTTGGTAAATGAACTTCGTTGACCGGTCAACGGTCAATGATCAACGGATATTGTGGTGTGCATTGTGATTTATGGTTTGGTTTCTCGTATTTTTTGTATGCATCTTGTGGTTTGCTTTATCGTGTTTTTGGTTTGCATTAAGAAGTTTCTGGCGTGCTTTCGAAAAAAATTGGTTTGCTTTGCGGGGTTTCTGGTTTGTTTTAATAGATTTTTGGTCTGCATTAGGACGTTTCTGGTTTGTTTTTGTGGTTTGCTTTATCGTGTTTGTGGTTTGCATTATGAGGTTTCTGGTGTGTTTTTGAAAATTATGTGGTTTGCTTTGTGAGGTTTCTGGTTTGTTTTAGAGGATCTGTGGTCTAGTTTAGGAGGTTTTTTGTATGCTTTGTGTGGTTTGTTTTATCGCATTTGTGGTTTGCATTAGAAGGTTTCTGGTGTGCTTATAAAATGAGGAATTTTACAATGCTATATAGTATTGGTGCTATAGGTTTTTGCTTTTATGGTACAACTTGAAGTTGTACGTTTAACGTTATGGTACAATTTCAAATTGTACCTATACTTTTTTGTTCAAATTCTTTTATTGTACAACTTGAACTTGTACAGTTATGTGATGGTACAACTTCAAGTTGTGAAGTTCTAGCATAACATAAGGGTACAAATTCTTTAATGGGACAACCTGAACTTATACATGTAACGTTATGGTACAACTTCAAGTTGTACATTAAAGCACCAATACTTTATAGCATAGTAGAAGTGCTCTTATAAAATATTTGTGGTTTACTTTGTTTGGTTTCTAGTATGTTTTAGGCGATTTGTGGTCTGCATTATGAGGTTTATGGTGTGTATTATTAATATTTGTGGTTTGTTTTGTGATACTTCTGGGACGTTTGAGGAAATTTTTGGGCTGCGTTAGGAGGTTTCTAGTATGTTTTTTTGTGTTAATAATATTTTACCACAAAATAAGAAAACAATTACTTTTTATTTTTACATATTATCATCTCCTTTTCCTAATCCAAAAAAAATATCTTCCTTCCGTAATCTCTCCGACTCCCCCCCCCCTCCCATCCTTCTTCATCAATAAAAGAGAACATCAAAGCATAGCGAAAAAGTTAAAGAAAGAAAGTGAAAATAAAGGGACCATGAAATCCCCCATCCCTTCTCTGCGTTTGGATTTCTACTGCTTCCCATTTTCTTTTCTTTTTTGGTAAATAACTTCTTCCATTTTCTGATGGGTTGCCGGAGAAATATCAGAAGCCGCCAGCGAGAGGAGAGAGCGGATCTGGGAGCTGAAGGACACTAGGACGGTGGTGACAAAGGGGGATTGTCATAAGAACCCTCTTCATGTGAGGTTGAAGGAGGAGAATTGATGGAGCCGACCCACCTTACTTCTTCCCCATAGAAGATCCTGCAATCTATCCCGTCGAAAATCCGACGGTCAGTGGAACAGTTGGCTCTTGCTCCGAGCTGGACGACGATGATGATTCCATATTCGTGTGTATTGAATCGTTGTTTTTGTGGTTGTTCCCTGCCTTCTGATGCTCTGTTTTGCAGGTCACCAACGAACTAAGGATTGACGGCGGCGAATAGGAACGACAGGAGGACTAGCGACCTCGATGACGGAAGAAAGAAGGAACGACGGGGAATGAAGGATACCTCAATCGTAGCCGCCAGATCGGAGTCATAGTTGCATTCCTGCCAGCAGCGGAGAAGAGTGTGCGGGAGATCGAGAGAGGCCAGCTAGGACTTGAAAATGTATTTTTTTAATTTTGTTGTTAGTTTCCGTTTTTACCCCTGTTGTTACTATAACAACACTATGGGTGATGTTATAGTATCCGAACCCCAATTTGTCATTAAATATAACGTCATCAACGACGAAAACACAATAAATTCATATGACCAATGATTCATCACATGTTTATCGGAATGAGTTTTGCTATTAATTGCTCATCCAGCTATAATCATAATGAGTTGTATCATCAAATGTCGATGTGATAATCGAGTGATAACCCTAGGAATGCATAGAGAAACACACACTCAAAAACTATTCAGAAATAGTTAGGGGTTTTCATCTAATAGCAAACAAGAAAAGTAAAGTTGGTTAGGTGTTTTTATATTTACAGATGCTTAAAAGTAAAAATATATTATTGTAGAAGAAGGCAAGCTCGAATGCTATCATGCATACTAAGGCTCATTCACATCATATGCATCAATTGTTCATCTATGGTATAGCTATCCCTTCCACTGAAACCACTCTCTACCCGTGCATGCATCTTGAAATAGAGATTTAACTAGCTAATGCGTGCTTTCGCTTCATGTCATTTCCTAATTAATGAAGACCAAGGAAGTTAGGACAACACATGATTAAGTGTGGGCCTCTATTGGGATTGTCTTGGACTCACATTACGAAATCTAGTAGACTTGTTTGTCATTGCACCTGATCTTGATCACGAAAGCTCCATATTCTTCTCTTCATAAAACTTTTGGTCCTCTAGAGTTCTTTAATATGATCTAAACTTCGTTTCTTTGTAACTTCAAAACCATACAAAAAACATACAAAAAGGCATCAAAATAGTACAAAATCATAACATAAATTTATTAAAGGCTCATTGATCAAATAATTGTTATTTAAATAGGAAATATTAGAGAAAGGACTAAAAATGCTTTGATAGAAGGGGAAAATGTATCAAAAAGGAGAGTGACAAATACTATAAATAAAGTGCCATCAATTGTTCGTCTAGGTTTAATATTAATGAGTTGTTTCATCAAAGTCCATCCAACTTTAATTAGAATGAATTGTGCCACAACTGTTCATCCAATTTTGAATATATTGTTGAATAATAATCATTTTCATGTTTCTATTAATGATCCCTCAAATTTAGTCATTCTACTAATCCGTCATATTGTTTCACCAACACCAAGCAACGTAATCTCGTCATATTTCATCATCACGAAAATTAATGAGGCGTAACAAGGAAATGATCACATACGCTTGATGTGAGATTATTTTGACCTGAATCCTACCTACGACATTAGGGTCTTCACAAATCAATATCATATGCCCCCTACCTTTTCAAACGAATCATGAATGATGTTGTTCAATAAGACTCATACTTCAAGCAATGCAAATATGTTGTAGGACGTGACTCAGTTTCCCTACCCCAAAAGCTTAAGAGTGTTTTTCGGATGCTTGCCTATGGATGCTCAACAGAATCTTTGGATGAGATATTTCAAATGAGTGAGAGCACCATAATGGAATGCCTGAGGAATTTATACTTGGTCATCACCAACATTTATAGTTCTCAGTATTTGCGTTCACTAACCATGGAAGATCTACGCCTCCTCCTTGATCATAGTGCACATTGTGGTTTTCTGGATATGATTGATTCAATTGTCTGCATGTATTAGGAGTGAAAACTGTTTGACTGCATGGGCATGCTAGTACAATGGCACATGAATAAATGAACCATTGTCCTCAAAGTCATAACATCGCATGAAACGTCCCGATCCTTTTGACCAAATCGAAATAATCATGGCTCTGGAGTCGATTAAAAACAATCTAAAAAATTTCATAAAAAACAAATACAACTCTATCATTTTCAAATGAAATGCCCTAAACACGTGAGCGAACTCAAACCATGGACAATAAAACGACATAAACTTTGAACCGTGAACCTCCAGTATATACTCATAATCATGAAACATCAAAAACTACACAAGTCTAACTCTAACTCCAGCTCCTCACTAAGCTCCTTGACATCTCGTAAAAGCTGGTGCGGCTGCTCGCCTTGCCTTTCCTCTTCTCAAAATCCTCATATGCTAACCCTTCGTCAATCTGGTGAGTGAGAAGGGGTCAGTCTCGCGTTACTACCTAAGGTCTTTGCCCTAAGCAAACTCCTTACTAAAACACGTTATTAGCGTTTCCTTTCCTTAGATGGAAGCCGTTCTCGCTTTCATCCTTAATAACTTATTTCAACATTAACTCATAGAAGTTTTCTACTTCTATCCTTAACTCAAACACAAGACACTAGGACCACTGCGTTACGTCTCGAAGTCCGGTGTCCTACTTTACTATACCAACCGCGTTATGTCTCGCCGTCCGATTGCATACCCAAACTCGGCAATGACACTGCGTTACGTCTCGTCGTCCAGTCCATGTTCGGTCAATACCGCGTTGCGTCTTGCCGTCCAGTAGTGACCCCAACA